GTTAGCTTTGTAATAAGAGATGGTATTAAATAAATTTAGGGTATTTTGAACGGTTAACAGAGAAGTCTCAACATTTGTCAACATTAGGATTATATCATCCGCAAAGAGACACAGTATGGTTGCGCTCATCTGTTTGAAAATGACTGATGTTATTGATGGGATCTTACATAGGAGGTAAGTGGCTCCATCAGGAGGTTGAAAATTAAGGGTTAAGGGGGATAAGGGGCACCCCTGTCTGGTGCCATTGGTGATATAAAAAGGTTGGGATAGCATACCTGAGATACATACCTGGGCTGACGGGCAAGTATAGAAGGCCATAATAGCAGAGAGTATACGCCCTGAGAAACCATTTTTGTGAGAACTCTTACAAGATAGATCCAATGAATGCGATTGAACACCTTCTCTGCATCAGAAGCTAGAAGCAGAGAAGGCGTTCTGGTTAACTTAGCATAATAGATTGTAAGCTCCAAAGAGCAGGGCCCTCGATCCCCTCATGTTTTGCATTGTATTGTTATTGTTCTGTCACATGTTCTGTCCCCCTTTGTAATGTACAGCGCTGAGCGAACTATTGGCGCTTTATAAATACTGTATAATAATAATAATAAATGAATAATATTCACCACTCTTCTACTTATTTCTGCGGTTTGCCTTCCCCTGGTAAAACCCGACTGTTCTAAGGCCTCATGTACACTGCTTCTCCTAAACATGAGTTTAGGAGCTTTTGGTGTTTTTTTGCAAAGCCCCTGAACTCAACTCAATAGTTTAGCGTTTTTTTTTTTGGACAAACCGTTCCTCTCCTGAAGTGACTATTCTGCATTCAGAAGATGAACGTTTAACTGCCCCTAAACTCTGCTGCTCCTAAACTCTGGTAAAAGCCTAGGTGTACATGGACCCATAGGCTTTTATTGAGTTGTGTTCAGGGGCTTTGGCAAAAATAAGCCAACAGCTCCTGAACTCACGTTTAAGAGCAGCAGTGTACATGAGGCCTAAGTGTATCAAAGTAGGCAGAACATCCACCAGGCAGAACGTAAGTAATTTTGCATATAGTTTCAGATCATTGTTCAATAGCAAAATAGGCCTGAAGTTTTGAGAAGTGTTAGCAGTCTTACGTGGTTTAGGCAAGGTTTATAACAAGAGCCTTAAGCATTTCTTGGGGAAAGTAAGAGGAGGCCGCAGAAGAGCTGCACGTTTTTGCTAGATAACGGACAAGAATATTGTTAAAGGTTCTTGCAGAAAGCCGAGGGTGGAAAGCTGAAGTTATACCCTGCAAAGCTCAGTGATGAGTACAGAAAGCTGATTGGAGAGAAGGAATATTGCGCACCCCCCCCCCCCCTCACATCCACACACAAAGCTGAGGCTTTCAGTCACATGCTGTGTGCTTGAGTTTCCTCTCCTGTCATCTTTTTTTCTCTTGGTATGAAAAAAGCAGAGGAATGACCCAGCAGACAGAAACGACACTTGGTGCTCTTAACTGAGGTAAGTACACACTATAAAAGGATATGCTTTGCTCACAATCACTTTAACTGGGGGCATGATTTTGTAGATGTGGTTAAAAATTAGCATGGTCTGTACGATATCTTCATATTTCATTTTGAAAATTAGGTTAGCTTATGTAAAAGCTAGGTTGGAAAATAAACTGTGCAGAAAAAGCATGAGTGGGAAACAAATTACGCTGGTGGGAAAACATTGTTGCAAATAAACTGCTGAAACATGTACTGCATGTAATTACATCACAATGAACCAAGGGATGAGAGCAGTATTCCAATTATATTTTCTTAGTTAGGAGAGTTTTAGTTCAACCAATAGAAAAAAAATATAAAATCTCCATATCCACAATCATATTTCTACAAGTTGATCAAGGGAAAGCAAAAAACAAAAAAAAAAACACACAAAAAAAAAACACACACACACACACACACACACGAAGTAGGATTCAATTTGCTGCCGGATTCCCCAACAGGCAATCGTATATTCCCTGAATCAACTACCTCTTGTGTTTTGCAACTACTTTGGGCTGAAATTAAAAACAAATCCTCATCTAAAAATAAGGGCAAACTAAATATTTTTTTTTTATTTTTTTTTTTTTTTTTAGGGATTTCACATTTCCCCCTTTCTGCTGAATGACACCATACTTGAATAAACTAGAGGTCCTTCTTTGAGTGCCATTTTCCACATTAGTGCAGTGTCAGTCATTTCAGTTGTCAAAAATTTAACATATTACTTACTCTCTTATAAGCTCAAAGCAATATTTCAATAAATAAATGTAATGGCTAGTCAATATACTGAAAAAAACAAAAATAAGTGTAAAAAGCTCCTGTAGTGTAGTTTACTTCATCAGAAACAAACTGTCCAATGGATAAAAAGGTTATTGCAGTCATAAAATATAAAAAAATCTACAAAAGAAAAAAAAAAAAAAAAAATTCTAAGGTTGCTTGATCACCACCCCTGAATCATCATGCTCCCTTACCGACATTCAAGGTAAACTGTCAGAGCAGTCAAATACCCCGTGTATGTATGCTCTGTTTAGTCAATCTTAGATTTTACACAGGGTTTATAACCTGCTCTTCTACTACATGTGACAGTGTTCAGACCTAGTGGTTGGCTGCACAGGCCTAAGCACTGCATCCTGGAAAAAAGGTCACATTCTCACCCATATCCACAAGCAAAAATGATTATTTCTGGAGGGTGAAAGAACAGGTGACGGTGGAGAGTGGGCAAAGCTCTCTGTGGGTCAGGGTGGATATGCTTTCAAGGGAACCTTCTAAAAACCACGGAAAATAAAAAAATACTGTACAAGAAATCATTTTGTGTTATAACATTTTTAATCATGTGATGTGTAGCACCCTCCTCTAGCTAAGCTGCTGAGTTAAAGAAGAGTTTCACCCAAAAGCAGAAACTCCGCTTTTCTGCCTCCCCCTTCCACTGCCACATTTGGCATCTTTTGGGTGGAGCTGGTACCTGATTTTGGCGGGTACCCGCTCCCACTTCCGGATCAGCTCGCTGCAACAAGTTCGGCATCCCTCGCAGCCCTCTGGGACACTTCCATAGTCCTAGAGGACTGCGGCCCATTCGCAAAGTGCAGCGCACTTCATGCATGTGCAGTAGGAAACTGCCAGTGAAGCCACAAGGCTTCACTGCCAGTTTCCCTCAGTCAAGATGGCGGTGCCAGCACCTGACATCCGTCTGAAGAATCAGCTTAGGGTGAGGACACCACTGGATGCATGGACAGGTAAGTGCCCTACTATTAAATGTCAGCAGCTACAGTAGTTGTAACTGCTGACTTTATTTTTTTGGGGGAGGTGGCGGGGGCCAGAACTCTGCTTTAACTGCTGCCGACCACCTCATGGGTATGGCAGTATCTCACACATGATCCAGCTCTTTAAAAAAGGTAGGGGGCATGGACATGTGCCGGCCCTGGCTGTATTGTGATTAGTTACAGCACAAGCCGATCAGCAGGTCCCCGCCAATGATTGATGGCTGGGACCCGCAGATCGGCAAAGAGGAAGAAGGGATAGAGCTCTGTGTTGGTTAAAATCATTGACAGCGGGGATGAAGCGGTTTTTGTTTCCCTGCAAAACAGGGAATAAAAAGCCGGCACATCCCTTAGTAAAAACAGCACACAGTGAATACACAAAGCACTGTTAGGCACACAGTTAATACTTTGCTTACCCCTAGATGTTAACCCCCTACTAGCCAGTGCTATTAGTACAGTATCAGCACTGATCACTGTATTAGTGTAACTGGTTTCCACAAAGTGTCAGATCTCCTAGATTGTAAGCTCCAAGGAGCAGGGCCCTCCTATCCCTCTTGTATTGAACTGTACTGTTGCTGTATTGTCTCCTGTTATATTGTAAAGCGCTGAGAAAACTGTTGGCACTATATAAATCCTGTATAATGATAATTGCCAGCCATGCTATCACAGTGCTGCTAACACACACACATATGTTGAGCACCACTCTCCATCCAGGCTCTAAAACAGGTAGTTTTTGAAGAATGGAAAAAGATATGTTGCAATATGTCGCCAACTTGTTTATTCCATGCCTAGAAGACTTGGTGCTGTCCTTACAAATCATGGAGATTATACAAAATACTAGATGGGAGTAGTTTTTGTTGTGGGGTGGATTCATTTTTGCAATAATGACTGTGAGTAAAACTGAAGATTTTGCAATCGAAGATATTAACCTTACTTTCATGTAATGAACTAAACAAATGTTCTATAAAACTCAGGTTTTGTCAAAATTTTGGAAATTTTGCTTGTGTTCATTGAGATATTGATTACAATCTTATGTTTCAAAATGGGGTGTACTCATTTATGTTGAGCACTGTATAGATATATATTTTTATTTATTTTAACAGCAGCCAGTCTCTGAGATGTTGCTTAAGGAAATGGGAGAGTTTGTATATTAGGGCTGGCATTACTGAGAAAGTCAAAGCAGGATACTTTCCAAATTGGTGACTGCAGAATCATCAGACCAAGCATCAAACTGTCAAGCACCCACCTCTGCTCCTTTATTTTCAGCTGTCACCTGGCATCTTCAACATGACCTTAACGCAGGCCATAGATGGGGAGAAAAACGGCAGATTTTTCTTTTAAAAAACAAAAATTCGGTCGTTCAAGCGGCTGACGTTACCATCAATGGTAAAAAAAAAAAAAAAAAAAAAAAAAAAAAAAAAAAACCGGCCGATTTTCATCCCTTCTACAGCCGGCAAAAAGTGTCCCTACAGAGAGCTCCGCTATTTCTGACAGTTCTCTGACAGTTCCTTCACATTTACAGCGGTTGAAACATTGTATCTATTTGTTTCCATTTAGGATACAGATGTTTTTATTCGGAAACAAATAGATACATTGTTGCAACCGCTGTAAATGTCAAAGAACTGTCAGAGAACTGTCAGAAATAGCGGAGCTCTCTGCAGAGACACTTTTTGCTGGAGTGGAATTCTTCTTATTTTCATCCTACTTCTTCTACATCCTCATCCCCGTCCTCTTCTACTTCTTCATCCTCTTCTTCTACATCCTCATCCCCGTCCTCTTCTTCTTCTTCACCCTCATCCTCTTCTTCACCCTCATCCTCCTCCATCCTCTTCTTCTTCACCCTCATCCTCCTCCATCCTCTTCTTCACCCTCATCCTCCTCCATCCTCTTCTCATTCTCATCCCTCATCCTCCTCCATCCTCTTCTTCACCCTCATCCCTCCTCCATCCTCTTCTTCACCCTCATCCTCCTCCATCCTCTTCTTCACCCTCATCCTCCTCCATCCTCTTCTTCACCCTCATCCTCCTCCATCCTCTTCTTCACCCTCATCCTCCTCCATCTCTTCTTCACCCTCTTCTTCACCCTCTTCTTCACCCTCTTCTTCATCCTCTTCTTCATCCTCTTCTTCATTCTTCTTCATCCTCTTCTTCATCCTCATCCTCTTTTTGTCTTCCTCTTGCAGGTCACTGCTCATGCGCAGATTTTTTATCGGCAAAAAATCGGCCGATTTGCCCACCAATTGCCGCGAAAATCGGCCGATCTGCAAAATCGGCCGATTTTTTTCCAACTTTACAGAAAAAAAAAAAAACGGCCAAAATACCGAAAAACGGCCGACCAAATAGCCCACTAACGATCCGAAAATCGGCCGATTTTATTTTTGGCCGAAAAATCGGCCGATTTTCAACCCATCTATGGCCTGCATAAGGCTCCATGCACACTGGGCGTTTTAATGATGCTGGTAATGTTAGCTGTGTAAAGTCACGTCAAAAACGTGAGTTTTTCAGCATTCTTGCATTAGCGTTTAGCCGTGTTTTTTTGGGTTTGCGGTTAGGGTTTTTTTTACAAAAAAAAAAAAAAAAAAAAAAAAAAAAAAAATCTGGAAGGGGGGGGTAAAAAAAAAAAAAAAAAAAAAAAAAAAAAAAAAAACAGTTTGCTGCGATTTACCGTATTTTTCAGCAACTAAAAAAAAAACTCCTCAACAATCCCACTAGTCCTGGGGTTTTTTTGAGCCAGAAGAAAAAAAAAATGTTGATTACAGTCTGTGTGCGCATGAACACATAGGATAACATGCTGGGAGGGTTTACTGGCTGTACAAATTCTCACATATGACAATTCTGACAATTCTCACATATGTAATAAGCCATTTTTTTCACTAGAAAATTATTTACAACCCCCAAACATATATTTAAGCATAGGCCCTAGAAAATAACATGGTCGGTGGTGCAATGTTTTATGTCACACAGTATTTGCGCAGCAGTTTTTCAAATGCAAATTTTTTGGAAAAAATACGACAATGAATTTTAGTGGACACAAAACACAATATAACACCCAATTTTTGGTAAAATATAAAAGATATTACGCTGAGTAAATAAATACCAAAAACACGCTTTAAAATTGCGGCAAACTATGGTACATTAAATTAAAGCATCTTCTATGGATAAAGACCCTTACAGGTTACCACTTTAACTGCCTCCCACCCGCCATATAGTAAAATGACGGGCGCAAGGCGGCTCTCTCGTTCAGGGAGGACGTCATATGACGTCCTCCCATTCTAACTGCGCATGCGTGGCTTCCGGAGCGTGCAGCACAGCGATCGGCAGTGCGCTGTGTCCCTCAGACACAGCGGATCAACGGAAAGAGCCAAAGATGTCGGCTCGTGGGGGGTCATGTGATCAGCTGTGTCCAATCATAGCTGATCGCATGTAAATAGGGAAATGCCGATTATCGGCATTTCTCTCCTCATGAGCTGTCATGTTGACAGATCGAGAGGAGAGCCGGTAATCGGCATCCCTCAGAGGGGACATGTGCACTGATGATCAGTGTACCCTGATGATCTGTGTAGCCCCATCAGTGGCAGCTGTCAGTGCTCATCCATGCCACCTGCCAGTGCCACCTGCCAGTGCCACATTTCAGTGCCACCCATCAGTTCAGTGCCTACCCCAGTGCCACCCACATGCCACCCATTTCAGTGCCACCCATCTGACCCATCAGTGCCTTTCAGTGCCACCCATCAGTGCCACCCATCAGTGCCACCCATCAGTGCCACCCATCAGCGCCGCCTCATTAGCGCACATCAGTGAAGGAGAAAAATCACTTATTTACAAAATTTTATAACAAAAAAAAAAAATTTTTTTTTCAAACTTTTCAGTGGTTTTTGGTTTACGAAAAAATAAAAAACCCAGAGGTGATTAAATACCACCAAAATAGAGCTCGGTCACAAAAAAATGATAAAAATTTCATATGGGTACAGTGTTGCATGATTGCGCAATTGTCAAAGTGCAACAGCGCTGAAAGCTGAAAATTGGCCTGGGCAGGAAGGGGTTATAAGTGCCCTGTAGGCTAGTAGTTAAATTTATACAGGAGGTCTGGTGGTAGAATTACTGCTCTCAATCTGATGTTCTCAGTGATCCCTCACGTGTGTGGTGCAATCGCTGTTAACCAATGTGTGTGGGACTGATGGTTCTGTTCGACTTTGCACACGAGCACGGTGGGGTGGAGGCATTTTATTCTTCATTTAATTTTTTTATTTTTATACTGTCTCTTCAATGTTTAACAACTTTATTGCTATCACAAGGGATGAACAACATCCCTTGTGATATCATGGGCAGCACACTTTAATGAGAGATCCCGGGTCTCTTAAGACTCCAGATCTCTCCTCTGCCCTTAAAAGCATCAGATAAAACCAAGATCAGTTTGACACTATGCTTTCCCAAGTCAGTAATGTCTAGTCTAAATTCTCACGAAACTGGAAGCGACAAAATACTCATCTTAGACCACAGTGATGATCAAGGACGTTCCAGTTCCAAATCATCTCTATGGTCAGCTAACGGAACGGAAAAAAAAAAAAAAAAAAAAAAAAAAAAAAAACAACAACAACTGCAGGCATCATCCCAGTATAACTACATCAACCCCACAACATATTGGTATGTCACTGGGGCTGAAGTGGTTACAGATTAATTCCACTTTTGTGGGGGGGAATAAAAAAAAAAAAAAAAAAAAAAAAAAAACCACCTCACACAACAATCCCTTCTGGGTGATCAATTTACATTGCAAAGATTGTAACAAACTTTGTTGTAGATTCCTACCTGTTTCTGCTCTGAAGGAATACCTATGATTGTATCAATGTGCGTAGTGAATCTGAACAGGAGTGACTTTCATTATTAATTAGCTGATGCACCTGCAGTACTCTAATAAAGTGCTCTAATGAGGAAAGTTGCAATGTCATCATCCCTTTAGAAGTGATTAACTCGATGGGAATATCTCACAAAAAAAATGAAATTTTGTTGCAGAGCATGCTTAAAATCTGACTTGTATCTTAGTACAAACTTCTGGGAAAATCAGTGAGCCAATCAAGCAAGCAGGAAATGACCTTTCTTGCGAAGTTCTAAACACCAAACTATGTACAGAAGGCCTCAAGGCTGCCATATTGCATTGAATGTTACAGAAAACAATAATGCAGATTGAAAAGGAAAGGTAATTTGTATGCCATGATTACAGTGGATACAAAAAGTCAACACACCCCTGTTAAAGGGTCAGGTTTCTGCAAAGTAAAAAAATGAGACAAAGATAAATCATTTCAGAACTTTGTCCATCTTAAACCACTTGCCCTCCTGAGGATTTACCCCCCCTTAATGACCAAGCCTCTTTTTGCTACTCGGCGCTGCACTAATTCAACTGATAATTGCGCGGTCATGAAATGCTGCATCCAAACGAAATTTACGTCCTTTTTTTCACACAAATAGAGCTTTCTTTCGGTGGTATTTGATCACCTGTGCGCTTTTTATTTTTCACACTATAAACAAAAAAAAGACCAAAAATTTTGAAGAAAAACAATATTTTTTTACTTTCAGCTATAAAAAATATATAGTAAACTCAAAGTTAGTTATAAATTTAGGCCAAAATGTATTCTGCTGCATGTTTTTGGTAAAAAAAAATCCCAATAAGTGTATATTTATTGCTTTGTGTGAAAGTTATAGCGTCTACAAACTATGGTATAGATACTGCAATTTACGCCATTTTTTTGCTATACAGCGCTGCGCTAGTTTAACGGACAATTGCGCGGTCATGCAATATGGTATATAAAAATGAAATTTACATCCTTTTTTTTTTCCCCACAAAATTGAGCTTTCTTTTGGTGGTATTTGATCCCCTGTGCGTTTATTTTTTGCACTATAAAAAAAAAATTAAAAAAAAAAAAAAAAAGGCTGACAATTTTGAGGAAAAAAAAAAAAATATTTTGGACTTTTCGCTATAAAACATGTCCAGTTAAAAACAATTTAGTCGTAAATTTTTGCCAAAATGCATTCTGCGACATGTCTTTGCTATAAAAAAAAAAAAAACCCAATACGTGTAAATTAATTGGTTTACGTGAAAGTTATAGCGTTTACAAATGGCGGGAAATATACTGGGATTTTTAATTTTTTTTTATACTAATAATGGTGGCGATCAGCGACTTATGGCGGCGATCAATGACTTATGGCGGGACTGCGGCGGACATTCTGACACTGGGGGGGAACTGACTTGGGGGTCACTGACATCCCCAGTGACACCAATACAGTGATCAGTGCAAAAAAAAAAAAAAAAAAAAAAACACACTGACACTGTACTAATGGCACTGGGGAGGAAGGGTTAACTTTATTATTCAGTGAAAGGGTTAACTGTGTGAGGGGAGTGTTTTACTAGGGGGTAGGGGTGTGTACTGCACGGAGACACACTGATCCAGACAGAAACTCTTCTGTCCCGATCAGCATGTCAGGAGCTGTCAGGGAACTGACAGAGAGCAGAGCTACTGCAGCCCTGCTCTCTGTCAGTGATTGCCGCTAATCGTCGGGACACAGCCAGTAACGATCGGCTGTGACCCGGCGACTGACATCCGCGGCCGTGATCGGCGGGACAGGTAGGGCGGCGGCGTGCCTCGCGCACGCCCCCTACCGGTTTTGAAAACACACGTTTTAAACCGTGGTTTTGCCCAGCTTCGCCACCCTGCCAATATATTTCTACAGTGGCTGGGTGGCATGTGGTTAATATAACCTACACCTTTAATATAACGTTTTGTACAACTCAGTTGAACAACAAACTGAAATGTTTTAGGTGGAGGGAAGTAAAAATAAAAAAGTAAAATAATATGGTTGCATAAATGTGCACACCCTTAAACTAATACTTTGTTGAAGCACCGTTTGATTTTTTTACAGCACTCAGTCTTTTTGGGTATGAGTCTATCAGCATGGCACATCTTGACTTGGCAATATTTGCCCACTCTTCCTTGCAAAAACACCCCAAATCTGTCAGATTGTGAGGGCATCTCCTGTGCACAGCCCTCTTCACCTCCACAGATTTTTGATCAGATTCAGGTCTGGGCTCTGGCTGGGCCATTCCAAAACTTTCATCTTCTTCTGGTGAAGCGAATCCTTTGTTGATTTGGATTATTTGATTGATTATTTTAGTTTTTTATGTTTACTCCATCCCCCCAAAAGATTTCAGTTTGTTTTTCAATTGAGTTGTACAGTTTATAGGTCACATTTAAAAAGGTGGAAAAAGTTCTGAAATTTTTTTTTTTTTTTTTACATCACAGAAACCTGACATTTTAACAGGGGTGTGTAGACTTATTATATCCACTGTATTATGATGGCTTGTGTAGGAATTGTATATGCTAGATTTTTTTTTTTTTTTTGTCCATGAAAGTGGAGTCATTTTTTTTTAGCTCAAGCAGTGGTGGTGCTAGAACGACTTCTCTTATTTACAACCGACAGTCGAACAAAGATCCGAAAGTACTGCTATCGCTATACTTCAAGCACTATGACACTGGACCTTTTGAATACGAATCACACTGCATCAAACCAAAAGTAGCACATTCACTACTTTGGAAACACTGCAACTGGAGCTATACCACTGCGATCCAGTGCAGGCAAATGCCCTGAGTTTGGCATGTCGTTACCTGAACACTGACATCTGCAGTGCATTTTGAACACGGTGCAGGAAATATTCACAGACCGTGGGTTTCCAGCACCGCATTCTAGTGTGAACCTAGCCATAGGCTGCTTTCGCAGCACCACGACTACAGGAGTGATTGAGTGCATGCATTATTATTATTATACAGTATTTATAAAGCGCCAACAGTTCGCTCAGTGCTGTACATTACAATGGGAGACAGAACATGCGACAGTACGAAAACAATACAAATGTGATACAAGAGGGGTTCGAGGGCCCTGCTCTTTCGAGCTTCCAATCTAGCATTTTAGTGCCTATTCCGGCCAACCCATTATAAAAATTGTTCTGCACCAAAACGCATGGCAAATCTGCAAGATGTAGCTTAACCTCTTCCCGACGGCCCTATAGCCCAGAAATACTGCTACAGGGCGACAGGGATGCGCAAAATCTCATACACACACACAATTTTTTATTTCCGGGCAGGAGGCGTGCACTCCCTACCGTGCTGCTATTGGCTCCTCGGCATGTCAATCACCGGGTCTCCGTGATCAGCAGCAGAGCTGACAGGGGAGAAGTCTGTATGTAGAGTCCAGGGGTGGGCAACTGTGGCCCTCCAGCTGTAGAACTACAAGTCCCATGAGGCATTGCAAAACTGACAGTTACAAGCATGACTCCCAAAGGCAGAGGCATGATGGGACTTGTAGTTCACCAACAGCTGCAGGGCCACAGTTGGCCACCCCTTGATGTAGATAATACAGATATCTCCCCTGTCAGCAGGAACAGGCTGCTTTGTATTGCTCTACACAGCAGTAAAGCAGCTTGCTTCCCTAGTAAAAACACACACAGCACAAAGTTAACCCTTTGATCACCCCAGATGTTAACCCCTTCCTGCCCAGTGCCATTAGTACAGTGTTTATTAGCGTGCATTAATGTCACTGGGGATGTCAGTGGTAATTATTCAGTTCCCCCCAGTGTCAGAATGCCAGCTGCAGTCTCACTATAAGTCGCTGATTGCTGCCATTAGCAGAAAACAAAAACAAAAAAAAAAAAAAGAAATAGAGAAATATATATATATATATCTATCTATATATCTCTATCTATCCATCGTCATTCGTAGACGCTATAAAACTTTCACATAAACCAATTTACACATATTGGGATTTTTTTTTTTTTTTTTTTTTTTTTTTTAGCAAAGACATGTCGCAGAATACATTTTGACCTAAATTTATGCCAAAATTAGATTTTTTTAAATTTTTGTACTGGACATGTTTAACAGCAAAAAGTAAAAAATGTTTTTGTTTTTTTTTTAAATTGTCAGTCTTTTTAGGTTTATAGCGCAAAAAAAAAAAAAAAAGTCACCGAAAGCTCTATTTGTGGGGGAACAAAAAAAAAAAAAAAGGGACAAATTTCATTTATGCACAGTGTTGCATGACTGCGCAAATGTCAGTTAAAGTAACGCAACACAAAAAAATGGCCTGGTCAGGAAGGGGGGTAAATCCTCTGGAGGGCAGGCGGTTAAGAACGAATGTGACCGCCACGTGCCTACAAAGTGGCAGGATGTTTTTGTGTGTTGCGGTAAAGCGCACAATTTGGCGTGCATTGTCTTAATGCGCCGGTGTGAACGCAGCCAGTTCAAGTACACAGCAATAAGACCCGGATACTCTGGGAGTATACTCAGAGTGTGGAGACACAGCCAGTCTACCTGCATTGTGCAATCAATGATACAACATGACAGCCAGGAACACTCACTCGTCATCCTTCATGATGCCCTCCTCAGTGATGGGCCTGACAGGGGCGATGTGCCCGGTGTCGGTGCTGTAGTTGCGGAAACAAACGGTGAGCTTCTCATCGAAGTCATTGACCAGGTCCTCCATGGACTTGAAGCCTCCCATGATGTCTACGGTGAAGCTGTTGTCCAGCTCGGTCAGGTCCTCCAGGGTACTCAGGCCTCCCTGGCTGCCGGCGGGATTGGAGTTCGCCTTGTCCAGGCTGTTCTTAGCCTCCCCAGAGCCGGACTGAGGACGGAACTCATAGAAATCCTGCCAGTCCTCATCGAACTGGGCTAACGGTGCCGCCATGTCGGGGTCCCGTATTGGGGGGGAGCAGAAGGGACGCTCCCCGGTTCTCACTCTCACCCTGCCAGCAGTACCGGGCGCACACACTGTCTACGTGGGGGCGGCTGTGCCCGGTTCCTGTCTGTCACTCTGCTGAAACTAAGGAACTCTCTAGACGTGTTTACACTGGGACCGTGAGAGCTTCCCAGGCTTGAATGAAGGGGAATGTGGGAGGAGCACTAGCCACGTGACTGCCATTAACTTTGCTGCAGCTGTCCATTTTAGTTTCTGGCAGAGTGATGTCAGCCGTGTTTACCGAGCTACAACTGGATTATCACATGAGGTGGAGCGACTGCGCTGTCCTAGATGTCACCGTGTTTTCATTTACCTCAAGTATACAGAATGAGGACAGAAACATGGTACTGGTTCACACTGCAGAATCTTGTTAATATGAAAGTGATACTAAACATACGCTGTTTCCGTTACATTATCCCTTCTCTGTACATGGATGACGGCTCTGTAATTATTTTAACAAAAAAAAATCTAGGTCCCTTTTTCCTAATGACCTAGCTCTTTCTCAGCCTGTCTGCAAGGAAACAGTGGCAGAAGGAGCTTGTAGTGCTATGCGGCTGGTCAAATGTTCAAAATAAAAAAAAAAAAAAAACCTTTGGAATACAGAATAAAAATAAGTAATATCAATAAACTTTTGAATTGTCATACAAAATATATATTTGAAATCAAATCTTTACTTTTTTGCAATAACATGGTATGTATGGATTTCTGCCAATCACAGGCTTTGTTCTTCCCCTTCAGCCTGTGTCTTAGAATAAGTAATATGTCCCCCCCATTGTGTCTAGTTGGTTAATGGACACGGAGGAGGAGGAAGGGAGAGGCTGTCATTTACCTCCAGGCACGGACTGGTCATAGGGCACATCGGGCAGTTGCTGGGTGGGTGGGGGCCCTCCTGCATAGGAGGGGCGGCACATAGAGGAAATGGACCTTGCATTTCTCTCCTGCCACTTCTCCCTCCTGCAGGCATTCAGCGGTGGCAGAGGAATAATGCATGCTGCTGTTCCTCTATGTGCTGCCCACCTACCCCTCCTATCCATCTCCTGCTGCCCTAGTTTCCTGTATGCTCCCCGCAGCAGCCGGCCTCCTCTCCCCTCCCTGTAGCTGCTGCGAAGGATCTGTCAGGATAGACCTTCCCCAGTTCAGACAGTTCCCCCACCACCACCAGGGGCGTATTTACCACAAGGCATTGTGCAGGGGGCAGCATCCCCCCAGGAAGAAGGGACATATGCGGCATGGGGACCAGGTGGGATCTAAAAGAGGCTGCAGACTGCCTGGTGGTGTAGTATGCAGAGCCCGACTCTCGTTCCCCGGGATGTCCGGAGCTGTGAAGGCGAGGGTTTTCTCTCTGTTGCGGGGGGGGGTTAGTGGAAGGCTCTCTCAGTTGGGGAGGGCAGGGGTGTTGGTCACTGGCAGGCTCTGTCTGGGTGGGGGGTTGGTTGGGCGGTAGGGGGTCTGGTGTTCCTCTGTGTCAGACTCTCTCGGCAGGGAAGGGGGTGGGGGGGGTCTTATTTTTGTGTTGCCTAGGGCAGCAATAAACCTAAATACCCCACTGACCACCACAGATGGGAGTGGAGAGAGAAAGCTGGTTTTACCCCTCCTCTTTCTGTGCTCTCCTCCTTTGTCTCCCCTGCCCACACTCCCTGGCAATCTTGTGTCTTCTCTCCCCTTTCTTTTTTCCTTCCTTTCTTTTTCTCTCTCTTCTTTATTTCTCTCTTCCTTTCTCTCTCTCTCTCTCCCTTTCTCAATCTCTCTTTTCCTCTCTCTCTCTCTCTCTCTCTCTCTCTCTCTCTCCCTCTTTTTTTCTCCCTCTCTTCCCCTTTTTTTTTCTCCCTCTCTTCCTTTCTTTTTCTCTTCTTTCTTTCTCTTCCATTCTTTTTCTCTCACTCTTCTCTCTTTTCTTTCTTTTTCTATCTCTTTTCTTTCTTTTAGTCTCTCTCTCTCTTTTCTTTCTTTCTTTCTTTCTCTGTTCCAGGACACTTTTAATGTGACACCTGGGATTTGTCGAGCCCTGTAATACATCATTTATTGATAGTTTTTTGTGATGTGGATTTAGTGACACTTATTATTATTGACCCAGAGAATATTTCATTGCCTTCACAAGAATCAGAGAGGATTTCTTTTCCCCTCAGAAGCAAATTGGATCCTGTTCACACAGCTGAGCTTTTACCACACTAAAACTCACCTTTCCAGCCCTACAAAGGTGTATGAACAATAGTTACCTTTTAATTTGTTTATATCTTTGCGCTTTTGTGTTTTTTTTTTTAAAGTGCACTATGTTTTTTAAGCACCCTCAGACCGCTGCCAACCTGCATTTTACTGCGGGCAGGCGGCTCATACAGACACAATCACGTGACTGCGTGTCAACAGTGTCCTCTGGGTTCAAGTCACAAGTGTGCCCCTTCCAGTTGACTGCTGTGATTGGACAGAGTGGGATTTTGTAAACAGGCTTCAGCTGCTGATTCATGGCTGAGACCTGCTGATTGGCTGTGCCAATCACAGCCCAGAGCCCTGTGTTGACAAACACACAGCGCTCTGTACAGAGGGAACAATTCATTTGTTTCTTCTCCATACTTTAAGCAAATAGATATTTAGTAAATGCAGCGCACATTACACATGGGTTGGCAAACAGTTAACCCTTTGATCACCCCTAGATCAGTGACATTAATACATTGACAGTATTGTCACTGATCATATTAGTGTCACTGCTGATGTCAGTGTACATTCCAGCCAGTGTCAGTTAGTGTCACATTGCCCGCCGCACTATCCCACTATGAGTCGCTGATAACCACTAGTAGTAGTAAAAAAATGAATACAAAATTTCAGTATATATACCATAGTTTGTAGACATTATAACTTTTATACAAACCAATCAATATACTTTTACTGGAATTTTTTTTTACCAAAGACATTTTTTTTTTTTATAGGTATGTTTTATAACAGAAAGTTAAAAAAACATTTTGTCAAAATTTTCATTTTTTTTTTCATTTATATATTAAAAATAAAAACCCCAGTGGTGATAAAATACCTCCAAAAGAAAGCTGTGTTTGTGTGAAATTATCCTGAAGTGTTACTAAACCCAAATTAGTAAAGTCTGACTGTTTATGCAGTAAAGCATGCTTGTTATACTCACTGTGGAACCTAAGGGGTTAATCCTGCACATTGTGTAAAAAGGACGTTTGATCCTGACTTCTCTGATCCTACCCTTTTTCCAATTTCTCTGCACATGCTCAGTTTGGTGTGCATTGCTAGAGAGGTTTTTTTTTTTAATTTGGATACTGCATGTGATCAGCACAGTGCCAATCAGCACTCTCCATACAGAGGTCAAGGGTCCTGCATCCGCGTTCAGGAGAATTAAAACTCCTCCTACAAGCTGTAACCAGTGCTTTGCTGGACACTGATATAAGTCACAAGACTGCAATGTACTGCGGCCGGGCAGCAGCTACAGGCAAAGCGACGTACCTGTACGTCGCTCTGGCTGTACTACCACAGCACACAGCACTCCCCCCATGACTGCTGTGTTCGGCGGACACAGCGGAATGAAGATCCCGGTGAACGGGACCCAGTGATCATGTGATTGCTATGCGAGCACATGATCACAAGGTTATCAAAGCTGCTATGAATCAATCTGATTAATAACGCTCTGCTTCTCTTCCTAGTGAGCTGTGATTGGCCCACAGCTGTCACATGATACTTGGGGCCAATCACAGCACCCTGTACCATGTGATCAGCTCCAGCCAATCACAGATCACTATCTTGAGCTGTCAAAAACATGACAGTTCATGAATGAGTTGCAGTAGGTTCATGACAGAAAGTTTTACATTGCAGGAGAAAGGATCTTTATTTCTCCCGCAAAGCAAATTGTAAAAAACAAAATCCCTGATTGAT